GGCCTTGACTCTGCAGCGTATCTCTTTCACCCCTCAAACCATCTCCGCCTTGCATCAGAAATCAAAAATGGCGAAGCCCAGAGGCAACAAGACGGCGCCCGTCTCTCGAGGACTTCTGGTTGCCTTTTTGGTGCTGACGATTCTCACCACTGGCTTCGCCGCTGTCTCCTCAGTCTGGGCCTGGGAATGGTCCGAGTCGGGAGAAGGGACGTGGGACACTAGCATTGCATCGTTCGCCACGAGTATCTCCATGACCATCTGGTCCATCATACCCGGAACCATCATCCCTTCCTTGGATTTGGATCACCGTCTAAGCAACAAGGGTCGTCTGTCTGCCTGGCTGATTCACATTGGTACGTGGCTTGTTCTGCACAAAGCTGAAGGTGCAGGTGCGCTGACACGACATCTTGTTCCACTTCGTCAACAGTCGTCAGTGTCTTCATCCTGATCGCTTTCATCGGTGGCACTGCTGCGAAGGCTGCAGCTCTCAACAGACTGGAGGACAGATACAACAGCTACGGATTTCCCCGCTACTACAACTACCGCTTTCAAAACACCTTTCAATTCCCCTTCTGGCTCGTTGCTATTGTGCTGCAGGTTGTAACATTGAGTAGTGAGTTTGTTTGTCGTTTGAGCGCACAGAAGAGAGGACCGTCGACCTGATCCTCCTCACCCTGTTCACTTTGGCTTGGCAGTCGCTTGCATCTACCTTCGCAAATTCATCACCGCTCGCAAGGCCATCGAGCCCGCGAAGGTGGATGGATGGAATGAGCTGACTCGTCGCGACTCGACGGCAAAGAGTGAGATCGATCACACGCAGGCGTGATCAGAAAGCTACGTGGCCCGACTAAAGACTGCTCCCCTACTCAAGTAAGAGCATGCTTCTTGTACATATTCTTACGATTTACGCGCGACGGACTAGGTGTAGAACCTCTGTCCGATCCGCTACTGATCCACAGCGCTAATGCTGCACATATCATGACGAAATCAAATCCTTGTACAGCCTGAAAGCGGTGAATCGATAGCACTTCCATTATTGGTACATCAATGTCCTTCGCTACTAATACAGCTGCGCGATACCGCGAAGAGAGTGACAAAACGAAACACACCTGCAGTCGCTACCAACCGCGACCCCTGCCTCGCCTCATGTCGCCGCGAGCTCTACCGCCCCATCCACCACCTCTGGGGAAGCCTCTCGAGCCACCGCCCATCCAGCCGCGCCCTCTGCCTCGGAATGGCATGCTCGCTGGCGATCCGCTTGCAATGCCAGCACCAGCTCCTTCGCGCGGTGCTGGTATGGTGTGAGATGCGTCAACGAAACCATCTTCGCTTCCCCGTGGACCACGAGGGACGCCTGCAAAGTCATCGATGGCCGTCGGACGAGCGGCGTACGTTCCGGGGGGTGCACCGGGCTCCACAGAGAAGCTCCCACTAGAGCTCCTCGAGCCACCTACGTCGACCGGGTTGCCCGGTGGGCCTGTAGCAGCCGAGGGTAGCCGAGAGCCATGTGCAGGAGGACTCATGCTGCTCGCGCTGGCATTTGACACCGAGTTCGAGTGCATTCGCCGAGCACCAACAATCGGAGAGATGTCTTCGCTGCGCCCAGAGAAAGCACTAGACGCGGCTGCCACACTTGGCGAAGCAGTAGGGGCAGAGGCGTTGATAAGAGCTTTCGGCCCTCGAGGTGGGTTGAAAGCTGCAGGTGCCGCCGGTGGTCGAGGCGCAGATGTCGGAGTTTGCGGAGGACGCAAGCTTGGCATGTCGGACGCAATGGGACTGGGAGGCACGACTGGCCGAAATCCTGGCCTGAAGATGGATCGGTTGCCAGCGCCGTCTGCGCCGATGTGATCTGACGCAAGTGGGGCAGGTGGCGCAGCACGGACAGGTGAAGTCGCATTTCCCATGAGCCACGCCCCAGAAACACTCTTTCGAGGGCTCATGCTGTCACCTCGGCTGCGAACGTCATCGTTCACAAAGCTGGAATCCGCGCGAACATGATCTGGTGCAAAGCCAGTCTGAGGGGAATGCATACCTGTGCCCACATTGAGCTGCTGCCTACCCGTACTGGCGTCGACCGTCATCTGACTTTGAGCTGGTGCAGGAGGCTGGGAGAAGTCCGCCAGACTAGCTCGTTGCGCAAAGCTAGAGTAGGAAGGTATTTGTCCGGGCGCTGCACCTGGTGGAACGCTCGAGTATACTGATTGAGCGATCGGAGAGGGCGGAACAGAGCGGGGTGGTGTCGCAGGACGGGGTGGACGAGGCGCCGGGGGTGCGTATCGACTGGCCAAGAAATCCCCGGCTCCCACCGCTGAATGCTGCACTTCCATGCCGGACGGAGGTACACCGCTTGTTGGCGGGCCAAGCCTGCTCTGCTCAGCAGTCAAGGTCTCAAGTGGTGACGGTGGCACTTCGCTCGGAGTCGGTGGTGCAGCAGACGCAGCAGCTTCGTTCGCTTGACGTTCTGCGAGACGCTTCTTGTACTCCGCCAAAGTGAGCTTTGCTCGCGGAGGTTCGACGCGAGCGGGAGGCGGAGCTGTGTCCGGAGTCTGCGTGAACGCCAAATCTCCGACTCTGCTTTGGCTTTCCATCGCTCGTGGCACTTGCGAATCAAACGCTGATCCCTCCTCCACTACTGGCGACGATTCGAAGCTTGCGGCGTTCTGAACTTGCGCCACAGTCGCCCCAGGTGTCAGATCCTCTTCGAGCCCGCTCTCGTCTGTCGAGATGATGAGCCGTGGCTTCTTTGCCTTCACACTAGCCCGGACCATTTTTTTCTCCGGAGAGTTGCTCCTTTGTCGCTTATTGGGGGACAATTGGAGTTTGGGTTGCTCCTCTCCCGAGGACTCCGAATCTCGGATGTCGGCTAGCGACAAGCGCTTTTGCTTCTCCTGCAGCTTCGCCATTTTCGACGCGGCCAGACGCTTGGCATTTTTACGCTTAATAGCTGATTCGGATAGATCACTCGTAGCCTCAGACGCCTTTCGCTTCTTCTTGCTCCTTTCATGTCCGCCCGCCTTCTTCTCGGGAGAAACTGAGCGTGCAGTGCGCTCGGACTCGGATCCGCTGGGTATAAGGGACGCTCTCCGCTTCTTGTCCGGCCGTTCAAGCATCACTTTGTCCGCCCTCAAAGGCTCCTCCATCTTGCTCTGATCACCATGCTTGAGTGAATTGCGGCGCTCGGATTGGGTCGAAAGCTTGCGCTGAATCGTAGGCGCCGGGCTCAGGCTTTCGTCCGAGGAATAATTCTTTCCGTCATCGGGCGCCGACGTTAGTGGAGAGCTAGGCTCATGCAGCTTGCCGGACTTCCTCCACTTCTTCTTGCTTGATTGTCGTGGCCGAAGCCCCTCATCCCCACTATCGTCGTGCATTTTGACGCGACGAGGCGAAGCGCGCTCAGTGGCCTCTTTGCGCGGGCGACCTCGCGACTTGAGCTTGCGCGTCTGTTCGAGCAGACCTTGTGCCTTGGAAACTTTTCTCACGCCGGTCACAGTCGCTTTGCGAGCCGTTTGCTGAGTGGGGAGACCAGGCGTTGGCAGCGGTGTAGTGTGAACTTTGGAAGCTCTCCGTCGCCCTGCAGCGCCCGCGCGCTCAGCATCAGAATCCTCATCGCCAGAGTAAGTCGCTTTGAGGCGGGTGCCAGAAACGCGTTTCTTGTGGGGCAACAACCTTGGTGCATCCCACGCGTCTTCCGGATCGGACTCTTCTGGTCTGAGATCGATGGTGCCACTGTTCGAAAGCAGAGCACTGACGTCATCTTCGTCATCGCCTTCGTCAAGATCCGAAAGCCCTGACAGAGGCTCTGTCAACGAGGAAGCGCGCGAGCGGCGATCGTCCTCGATGTCTGGTAGAAGCTCAGCTTTACGCACATCCTTGGCCGTGCGTTTCAGCTCGGCAATTGCGCGAAGGTAATCTTCCTCGCCAACGCGTCCGACGTGACCCGTTGGCGTACGCTTGTATGGCACGTCCAGATGGTGCAAGAGCAAGTCTCGCTGGCGATTTGCCACCTCATCAGGTGTCATCTCAGGCGTCGGAGTCAAGCTGAGAGGTCTCCACCACCTCCGCACTCCAACCAAAGGTAAGAAGTCGGGCTGTCGGATCTTGCGATGTGTCTTGTTTCCCGGCATTACGACATTTAAAGGGGCCATGCCTTGAGCTAGTCGGAGCATCTGTGCGATGGCGCAATCCTGTTTTCTAGAATTGTGCGCGCTCGCTGTCCCACCTTGACCACCCGGAGGAACGGCTGATCCAATGCAAGCGCAGAGCGACATGCCTAGCAGGACAGCAAGCACTGCGTTCATAGATGCAGCGAACCGCGCGTTGGCATATGGGAACTCTCCTCGCTCAGCCAGTGTTGCCATGGCAGCGCTTCTGCGTTCTCGCTCTGTTGTGCGGACCCCGGAGGCCACTTTGGCTGCAATAGCTGCTGCAGCTAGAGCAGCCGCGCTGGCGCCCTCACCGCCAGGTGGTGCAGGAGGCAAGCCCAATGCGGGATCTTTGACAAGCGAGGGAAGCAGATGGACAATGTGCTCGTCGTCCCATTCCCAGCCCAGTGTGATCTCGTGAGTTCGTGGAATGTCGGTTAATGCAAAGATCCCAAACAGCAGCTCCGGTTCGCGCTCCGGTCGCTTGAAGGATGGTCCGAGACTACTGAAATGATCCGCATCCTCAGATTTCACTAGCTCCGCTTCGCCAGTGCGGGTGAACAGAATGGGCCGCAAGACGGCGTTGGGGTGGCAAGATGCACGTGCGAAGCGGGCCTCGGTGCCGAAACGTCTTGCGTCGATGGCCACGGCAAGAGGAGGTGGGAACATATGAACGTGTGGCTTGACTGTGCCGACTTGAGCATACTGATTTATGGGATTGGCTCGATACGCTGCGGTACTAAGCAACTCTCCGCGATATTCGGAGATGAAGCTTCCCGCAAGAATCGGCGAGTCTGCAAAGAGGCCATGCATTGTCGGCCTGGAGAAGGTGCGAGAGGCACACCACGGCCTAGCCGGCTCTGTTGGAAGCGGCACGATGGACATCACATTGGAGAAGATGCTCGCAGCTGCACCTTCCGATATATGCTTCACGTAGGTCGGCTGTTGCAAGCTGGCCAAAGTAGGTCCCTCGATAGCGATGGGGACGCACTCATTGCCCACCGCTGAGAGACCCCACGGCTCCACGTCTTCTGGAGAATCCAAAGCAGGAACAGGCCCAGCTACAGGAGCAATGACTCCTATACCGCTCGAGCTTGGCTGCGTGGGCCAATGGTCTGCGTCCTCACTTTCGTACTGTGCCATTGCAGCTGCCAAGCTAGTGAGTGCGCGGGGCTCGACCACAAGATTCCTGGAGATTGGTGTGAACTCAGTGTGCCAAGCTTCAGACCTATCCATGCTCCTCTCGTCGGCCTCTGCTATGCTTGACAAGCCAATGTTGGGTGGAGCAGCAGCAGCGCCGCCTTGCGAAGCGGCGTCCGCGGCGTTGCTGCCTGCAGTTCCCGCAACTCCCGAACGAACAGTCTGAGTGGGTGTCGCAGGGACCACACTTTCGGGCGCAGGGGTTTTGCGCCCACTTTTGGCACCCGAGCCCTTCTTCCGACCTTTTCCAGCTGGCTGATCATTAGGCATGGCAGGTGTCTGGCTAGTATCGAGGTTCAGCGTGGGCTTGCGACTACGCCCTTGGGCCTGGCCTTGAGGTGGAGTCGAGGACTGCGCCTCTGCATGTGGCGATGCAGAGTTGTTGACTTGCCGCAGGACAGCCTGATCTCCTTGTTGGTGTTGGTGCTGCTGCAGCTGCTGTTGATGCGACCACAGTTCGGCGCGTGCCTGTTCGAACTGCTGCTGCTGCTGAGATTGTGACTGTGAGAGCCGTCTGGCTGTGTCGACAGCTTTGCGTGCTTCTACTTCTCGCCTTCGCTGTTGATGTTGTTGAGCAAAGGCAACGTTGACTTCACGGGGGTCGCACATCTCGCACAGATACTCGTCTGGCACTGATGCTTGGGACATGCCGAAACAGGCACAATGCTGCCATACCAGACACCTCTCACACTGAATAGTGAAGCCGTCGTCTGTGTCGTAGCCGCAGATACACCTGTTAGGGAGAGTGTTAGATTATCAGTCTCGACCCTTTGGACAAAGATCGAAGTCGCGTCAAAGCGCACCGGATCACTCCACCTTCATCGTCCACAGTCGCATCGTCTCCATCATCCATATCGTCTTCATCTGCAGGGCCATCTGGTTGCTGTTGCTGGAATGCGCCAGTGCTCTCGAATGAGCTATTGGCATGCGAGACTGCCGTGACGTCAGCCATTGAGCGACCAGATTGGTGGGGGCTGCTGCTCGGCAAAAGCGAGGGCTTTGAGGAGATCAGCGCAGGCGGTGCTGGCGGTAGTGACTCTATAGGTTTTCGGGGCGAAGGCGGCATCGACTTCCGCCGAGAAAGGATACCATCGTGGTACTGAGGCTGAGGCTCAGAAACGATCGTGGTACCGCCGACTTGGCTTCCAGCGGTTTCCTCTCGCTGGTCACGGATCGATGACTGTGTCTGAATGGCACTATCATCTTCTACCAAGTCTTCATGGACCGTCTTCGTCTGTATCGCTAGCGCTGACCCAGATCCCGAAAGCTTCGCAGACGAAGGTGGTGCGATTTTTTGATCGACGCTCGTCTCATTATTGCTTGCTGCACCGCGCTGAGGATCGACGTCCATCGCTAATGAGGGAGCAGCGCCGGTCAACAAAGGATCGATTGCAGCGTCACGATCTGACTCCTCAGGACCGACGCGAAGTGTCTCGGAACCTGAGGCATTGACCACAGGTAGGCCCAATTCAGAGCCAGTCTTGACTTCCCTGGCTGGAGCGGGTGGTGGGGCCAGGGTCGCACCCTCTGAATCGACTTCCATCGTGGAGAGACTTGCTCAAAAGGTGAGCAGGGTAAGAACGATTGGGCCGCTCATGGCGTAGCACTCGATGCTGAGGCCTTCCGAATCAGGGACCGAGACTCGAGAAGGGCGTGGCTATGGGCGTGGCGGAGAGGACGAAGCGGAGTCAGAGGCGGTGGGCATGTGGCTCTTGGAGGCCCTTTCCTTGGATATGAGTGAGGAAAGCTGTCTGAAACATGAAGCGTGGTTGATCCCTTGGGCGTCAAGGCAAGGAGATGTCGAAGATTGTGCTGACCAAGTGACCACAGTTGCGAGTCGCAGTCGTGCGTGCTGGCGACTCCTAGACTTTGACTTTGACTCTGACTCTTGACTCTTGACTCTTGACTCTTGACTCTTGACTCTTGACTCTTGACATGAGAGGCAGATCTGCAACCACGTGGCTGATGTACTGTACGTGCCTGCAGCCCGGCCAGTCAAAAAAAGACGTTGGTCTCGCTCAGCGTATTCAGCAGATTCAAATCGCAAGTGCTCTCTCAGCGCGACCCTTGATTTGTTCAGCCAGGCGCAGCGTGTGCTGACTTGACTGACAGACGCGCGCGGGAAAGCCGCCCTCGAAATTGTGCATCCCCATGCAGTGCAGCGGACGTCGCGGCGTACGTGTGATTCGTGATTCTTTAGCTGATGCTGATGCTGATGCTGATGCTGATGCTGATGCTGATGCAGTCGTGAGTCGAATGAGTCGTGAGTCTGATGAGTCACCAGTCGTGAGTGTATCGCCGGCGATCAATCATGCGAGAAGAGGATACCTCCTCAAGTCGCTCTTCCCTCTTCCCTCTTCCCTCATCCATCATCCTCACCGTCGCCTCCTGTACGCTAGACTGTGTGGCATCGCTTCAACCGATTTCAACAAATACCTTCCACCATTCCATAGTCTTGACACGTCGTCACAAGTTTGTGCGTCTTCTGGCAAATTTGCGCATCCCTTGCCACACGACACTTGGAAACACCATGTCGCTCCCGTCGCGAGTAATCCAAAAGGCATGCAGAGCCACTTCTTCCACTGCTCCCCTTCGTCAAGCGGCAAGTCGTGCGAGCTGCTCCATCGCCACCAGAGGTTATGCTACTGCTTCGCCCCCCAATCAAGCCAGCGTCGTGCCAAACGTTCAGCCAGAGGTACGCGCAGGTAGAGGAAGTATCCAACGTGCCAACAAAGGTGAGTAGCAAATACCCAGATGGGAGTCATTTACGCTTTCTCAGATGCAGGACTAATTGCTTTATTCTTTCAATGCTCCGCAGAATTCAGCGAGCTGCTCGCCACAGCGCAACCAGGCAGCAGCGCCAAGCGACCCATCTATCTGGATGCACAAGCTACGACGCCAGTGGACCCCAGAGTTCTCGACGCGATGCTCCCCTTCTTGACGAACCAATACGGCAACCCTCATTCGAGAACCCATGCCTATGGTTGGGAATCAGAGGCTGCCGTAGAGGAAGCCCGCGAACACGTCGCCAAACTTATTGGCGCAGATAGCAAAGAGATCATCTTCACTTCCGGAGCCACCGAGAGCAACAACATGAGCTTGAAAGGCGTTGCTCATTTTTATGGTTCAAAGAAGAAGCACATCATCACTACTCAGACGGAGCACAAGTGCGTGCTGGACTCCGCTAGAAAATTGCAGGAGGAAGGCTTCGAAGTCACCTACTTGCCAGTGCAGGAGGATGGTCTGATCTCTTTGGAGCAATTGGAGGCTGCTCTGCGACCCGACACGGCCGTAGTCAGCATCATGGCAGTGAACAATGAGATCGGCGTGATTCAGCCGCTGAAGGAAATCGGTGCGCTTCTCAAAACAAAAGGAGCAGCCCTGGCCAAAGAGCATGGACTTTCGGGCAAGCCGCTCTTCCACACTGATGCAGCGCAGGCGGCAGGCAAGATTGATCTGGATGTCGACGCCCTCGGCATAGATTTGATGAGCCTGTCTTCCCACAAGATCTACGGACCAAAGGGCGTTGGCGCTTGTTACGTACGAAGGCGGCCTCGTGTCAGACTTGAGCCCATCATCAGTGGTGGTGGACAAGAGAGAGGATTGAGGAGTGGCACCCTGGCACCGCACCTCACTGTTGGTTTCGGTGAGGCGGCCAGACTTGCCAAGCAAGAGATGAAGGTGAGCCGCGCGTCCCTATTGCTTCTAGTCCGCAATGATGAAGTCAAAGCACCGCCTGGAACAAATCGTAGCTGCTTCATCCTCGAGAACAAGTTCGTTCTGCTGGGGTTGCGATGTACTCTGCGATGCTCTTCTGGGGCGATCTGCAATCTCGAGATGGGCGCTGCGCTGGTTGGCAGGTAGCGGACGCTTTCGTCGATCTTGCCGACCGACAGAGCGAATGACTGCGCGTGCAGGGGTCTTGAGCGGTTGTACGGCGCAGGATGTTGGAGGTTGAAATCTTGACTGACATGCAACCCGCCTTGATACGCCTTGACGACAGTACGACCACGCGCATATTTCTGCTCTGGCGGATTACCTGAAGAAGACGCTTATGGATGCTATCCCCTACGTGCTCGTCAATGGATCTGCAGACCAATCTAAGCACTACCCAGGCTGCACAAATCTTTCGTTCCAATATGTTGAGGGGGAGTCGCTGCTCATGGCGCTCAAGGATATCTGCCTCTCTTCTGGATCCGCCTGCACGAGCGCATCTTTGGAACCCAGCTACGTTCTTAGAGCGCTTGGTCTGGACGACGAGAACGCGCATTCCAGTCTCAGATTCGGTATTGGTAGATTCACCACTCAAGCAGAAGTCGACTACGTGGCTGAGAAGATCATCACGGTCGTCGAGAGGCTTCGTGAAATGTCGTGAGTATTACATACCGGTTTGACGTCGCTTGTGTGCGAATTTGGTGCTGACACTTTCACTCACCCCATCCTCTCGCAGACCTCTGTATGAAATGGTGCAGGAGGGCATTGACCTCAAGTCTATCCAGTGGAGCGGCTAGATGTCTCGGCTCGGCTGTACCTCATGTGATTCTTACGTGACCCCTGCTGCATTCATCCCCTTCGAGCTTAAACTCTGCCGATCCCGCGTCGTGTTTGGTTCGTTTGTGTCAGTGTGTGGTTTGGTGACAACGTCGAGGAAATGACGGGCGATCTGAAGATTAGAATCAGGTAAAACAATTTCATTGAGAGTCATAATTGTGAATCAACAGATTGAAATGGTCACATCGGAGAATATGAATCATGAGGGATGCTGAGCCGTGCAGGTGCGCGCCTGCACGAGCGGTGATCGAGTGTTGAGCTTCGAGTGGTCTGTCGGCGATAAGGTGCCCGCGCGATTTAGACGCGGATAGCTGCGCTCAAAGCCACTCCGAGCTGTGTTGCAGCAGCAAGACAGACGCAGATCATCAACCGAATGTGGTGGGAAAGGGACACGCGGCGACGTGACGGCCTCCCTCCTCCTCCATCCACTCACGATTACACCATTCCTACGCTGCGATTGCTTGCAGGTTCAGCCCAGCCCCAACATTAGACTGAAAACTCGAGCTCTCACACTTGATCGAGAAGCTGACGAGTGTGCTTGCTTTGTCGACGAACGTCGCATTCAGTCCCATTCGCGCACGACCCTGGCCTGCTACAGTACTGGACTAGACAGCATGCCAGGAGGGCCAAAGTCGAGCGAGGCTCAAGAGGCCAACCTCGCCTCGCTCAGCCTCTCGGACGCTGGCAATCCCGAACAGTCCAGCGCGTCAACATCAGCTCGTGCCATCAATGCTCCTTCCGGATCAGTCGATGCAGCGCACAGCAGCGGGAATCAAGCAGCTTCAAGCAGCAGCACTGCGGTCAAAAAACAGGCGAGGTTAGCAGATCTGCCATCAATCCCACCCTCGGCGCCAAAAGAGCCGGAGAGCGATGATGAGCTGGAGCATGAAGAAGTCGAGGAGACTGTCGATGCAGCGGGAGAAGAGGATGCGGATGCGGATGCGGACGGTGAGGAGGGAGTAGAAAATCTGCTGGCCGACTATGCTGATGATGAGAATGTGAGTGTGCTCTCCACCATCAGGCTAGGGCGAGCGTAGTCTGGCGTTGCTGCTGCTTTCGCTGCTTTTTACAATGCTCTATCTCTTGCTCATTGTCGCTCTGTCGCTTCCAGTACATCGACTTGACACACCTCAAGCTCTCCAACAAATCCTTGAAGCGTCTCAACCTACCTCGATTCTCAAAATCTCTGCATAGATTAGGCTTGCGACAAAACGAGATAAGCAAGATTACTCTGCGCGATATTGGCTCCTTGTCCGAATTGAAGGACTTGGATCTGTACGACAATGGCTTGGAAAAGACGTACGGTGATGTCTTGCAGCAGGGATGCTCGCAGCTAGAGTGAGTGCGCAATCAAAAATGGACGACTGCTCGAAGAGGCGCTTAACAATAGCAGCATCACTTGATGCCTCAGAACGCTCGACTACTCCTTCAACTCCATTAGGCACATCTCACACCTGCAGGACTTGGGACATTTGAGGACGCTATATTTCGTACAAAACAAGGTATCTCGCGTGAGACCAGGCGACCTGGAAGGCTCGATCGCCACAAATTTGCGGAGCTTGGAATTGGGTGGCAATCGCTTGAGGGTGGGTGTTGCGTGCGCTCATCAGTCTGGGCCGATAGCGAGTGCTGACTTCGCATGCGCACCACTTTGTCATTTCCTACGCTCAGGCGATCGAGAACATCGGTCAGCTGACGCAGCTAGAGGAGCTGTGGCTGGGCAAGAACAAAATTACAAAGCTAGAAGTGAGTCTAATGGGATTTCTGAGCGGCTTCACTGCCCTTCTGACGCCCATCTGTGCCTCGGTAGAACCTCGACTCTTTGGTGAACCTGCGAATATTGAGCATTCAGTCCAATCGAATCACTAAGCTGGAGAACTTGTCGAACCTCGTGAATCTGGAAGAGCTCTACATTAGTCACAATGGACTGACCAAGATAGAGGGGCTGGAGCAGTGCAGAAAGCTCACCACGCTCGACATCGGTGCCAATCGCATTGCTCGGATCGAGAACGTGGACCATTTGAAAGACTTGGAAGAGTTCTGGGTAAGTTTTCAGTCCACGCTACCAGTGCCTTGGTATTTGTAGGGCATTTCACGTAAGCTGACACGTGCGACTGTCCATGCCCCACGCAGGCCAACGACAATCAGATTCCAGACTTGAATGCTCTTGAAGCGCATTTGGGACCTGAAAAGTGTCCCAATTTGAACACGGTGTACCTGGAGGGCAACCCGGCTCAGAGATCCGAAGGACCAGCGTACAGGCGCAAAATCATCCTCGCCCTTCCACAGCTCACGCAGATCGATGCGACCGCTGTAAGACCGTTGCGCATCAGCTAGCTGATGTACAACCGCTTGCGTGTCATCGCAAGCGCCACTAGTCGAAAGTCTCGGTATCATTCGTGATCGTGGTCTCCACATTCTTAATGATCATCCGTGGCTCGTCCCTGCTCCATCAGGACTCGCGAGTCAAGACCTGCTGCACTCATGGATAGCAGCTCGATCCTCCTTGTTTGCACCACCGAGTCATCACCACACTCGGGATGCTTTTTCCACGCGGCCGAGGTCAGTCAGAGACAGCCACCTCATGCGCGTGCTGGATAGCTTACAATCGTGAGTATAGTATGAGGTCAGTCATGACCCTGAGGCACCCCGAGCAAAAGGCGCCACTCCGCGGTCATGCAATCAAAGCAATCTTGCGCGCGATGACCAATATTGAATGGTGGATGATGGCGACATGGATCCTAATCAGAATTAGAGTGCGCCACGAACAGTTCATTAGCGTAGCGTAGGTATTCGTCGTCCATCAAGTCTTGAGTTGCTTGCATGATTGGCCTACAAGGTGCGCGCGTCGTGGATTTCTTGTTTCAACGATTCGTGAGTGGCGCTTCCTGCTTTGCGCCCAAGAGGACCCAGACTGGATGCATGGTGGTTGTGAAAAGAAGAAAAGTGGACCTCATTGGCTTTTGTATACAAAGGACGGCTCCACGAAAGAATCTGGAGGTTCCAGTCCAGTGAATCATATCGCCGCGCTCGCATGCTGCTTGGATGCGCATTTTCTATGATTGCTGTACAGTAGGCATCAGGAGTCACGAGTGCGAGGACAGATCAAGGCGTTCCGTCTGAGTGAGCATTTTGAGGGATTGTGGATCAAACATATCCCTAGTCTAACCACATTTGGCGCGAGTGCATCAGCCTGATTGACGAATCGTGACGGCTATATACCGTGCTCATATACGATTCTGATCACATATGATTGTTTGCGCATTGCACTTACGCATCGATCGTTGCATATGCTGCTGCGCAGTCACAGTCGTGAGTCATGCGAGTCGCAACCAGCAAGCAGCAAGCAGCAAGCAGCATGCAAAGTGCGTGGGATGTCTCACGTTCAACAACCATTGCAAGCATGCGCTCAGATCTGAGCGCGAGCTCAATTTTGAATCTAAACGTGACTCGAGAGTCGAGTGTATGATGAGCAATGTGAATCAGAATGCTTCTGTGTACTTTGAGTGCCGTGCAGTTGCGCACAAGTGGTCAAGTCAAGTCATTATATATAGCTGGAGGACCAGCGCGGGAAATCGATCTCGATTGCGCCCGCATGCGTCCGCGTTATCCTATAAGCTAAATCGTCATTCACATTCGTGATTTGGTCTTGGGAGGATCAGGGGTCGTCGCATGGGGAGATCAGAGGTGAGGTGCAAGATGGAGCTGACACACATGCGAAACACAGTGTGAGTCTGTCTTTTGAAATGCGAAAGATCAGAGAGACCACGCATGCAATGGGGTGACGGTGAGTGCCATACCAGCATCAGTGCTGATCGAGCGATGCGGAGCGCTGGCGTTCTGAGCAAATCTGTCAGATTTGCTGCATGCGATTCTTGTACAGCGAAAGAGCGCGCAAAAGTCGCTCTTCGACGCATGTACGATTCTAGGCCGGCTCACAGACTGGAGGATCTGAGGAGTCGCTCTTCCACGCGTTGACGAGACCGGCGCAAATCGAGGCACGACGGGCCTCAAGCGAGTCGAGTGTGAGTGGCTTGTATCAGACCCAAAGCGGTCCAGAAGGGAGTATGCACGATGTGGTAGCTTGACTCTGAACAGCGTTCAAGAATCTCAGCCGTCATCCGCACTCGCGACTGCTGCCTCCATCCCCTCACCTCCTCACGAAACTCCATAGCATCCGCTTCTTCACGCAATCCCTCTTTAGGCGCTACGCTTCACCGCCCCACTCCCCTTCAGAGTCCCGCATCAAACTCTTCCGCCCAGCTCGACACACTTCCCTTGTCAAAATTCCTCCACAGATCTTTGAAATCCCAAGATGAAAGCGATCAAAACTTTGTCGCTAAATCACTGGATCATCCTCGCTACGCTCTGCGTGATGATCCTCGGCGCGCCTTTGAGACACGCGCATGATTACAGCGTGTCTCACCCTGCCTTTTTCGAGAGCTACCATATGCCGCATCGTAATCTGCTTCGCCAATGTGAGTTCTGCCTGATATGAACGCGTGCGAGGGAGGGCGCTCTGGAAGGCGGCTTTCGTGCAGGCGAGCTGATAGAGAGCACATTGGAACCCCATTGTACTTCGCAGCCCCCTTGCGCCTACGCACGACCGAAGTGGAAATGAGATGGATCGACGGGCGTCATTCGACAAGCAGCAACTTCGCCATCGCCAACGCCGAAACACTTGCCAGGCGTGCCTCTGGCTCCGCATTCGGGTCCAGCTCTTCTGCTGCGCATGGCTTCTCGGTTGCCAAACTTCCATACGGACGCGTTCTGATCTCGCGAGACTCCAACTCTAAAGACCCGTCCAAAGGAAGCGAAAACAAGCACAGTCATGCTGAGACTACCAAGTCGAACGAGAATCGATTGTCGAGCACCGGTAAGAAACCCTCTCTTTCAAAGGACTCCAAGGTGAAAGAGGACAGCGCGCCTGAGAATCTTAGTGGTCAAAATGAGCAGAAATTCGCCTCGCCGATCGTCGACGGAATAGGAGACAGCGTCAAAAGCACTTTGTGGACCGGCATCGGCCTCTTGGGTAACCTCCTCGACAATTGGTCTCGAAAGCGCAAGTGATCATCTTCGCGAATCTGCGAGACGCCTTGACGCAACGAGTAGTCTGTCTGTTCGATGTCTTGCGCTTCGCTACCAGGTCCAGCTTGCCGCGTGCAGGATGAAGCATGGCGACCCTGCCAGCAGGCCCTTCGCTCATCGTCGTCCATGCATAGCGCACCCACACGAACACTACCGGCAAAAGCGCCTCCTCTTACTTGCCATGTGCGCGCCCAATGGTCCGGTGCCTCGACTCTTTCCTTCGCTCTCTCTCTCTGCTTTTTCTCTCGGATCATAACGAGACACCATCAGATGCGCGCTTGCGTGCTTCCTCACCCCTCAGATTTGCAATCTGAAGCGCTTTGCCTACGTCTTGAAGCTTTGTGAGGTGTGAAAAGTGCCCTTGAGACCCTAGCCGCCTTTACTTTCAACACTTGCTTTGACCTTCCATAGTACTGATGCGTTCCAAAGAAGGCCTACTTGACAGCTGCGAGTGAAGCAGAGGTGTGCTGTTGGTCGTGCCGAATGGTGGAGCAAGAGGGTAGACGAGCAGCAAAGCAACACGATTCAAGGTTCACGATTCGTGATTGCCTTTGGCGCCGTGAGCCACCACCACGTGGTGACAGGCGCGCAAACCGCGCGCCTGCTGCAGGCGCGGCAAGGGTAATGCATGCAGCAGAACAGCAGCTCAAAATTTGGGTCGCTTCGTCGACGCGTCCGCTGCGTGACATCTTCGAGCTTCGCACAGGCTTCTCCATCACATGCACGCGCATTCATAGGACTCGTGACTTGCGATTTGCTTGCGGGCTCTCGTCTTGTCTCCCCATTCCGATAGCTCTCTGACTCGCGCCATCTCCACATCTCGATTCACTCAATACGGTAGCACACGTGTGGTCCACGCTCGCACACTCCCCTCGACCTCGGGTATCTAGTCACTTGCGAAACGCTTAGCTCAGTCCAACATGTCGGCTATCGAGCTGATCAACCCTCGGGCCGAGAGCGTCCGCAGGGCACAAGCACTTGCCGTCAATTGCGCAGGAGCGATGGGTCTGGCGAATGTGGTCAAGTCCAATTTGGGACCGCGTGGCACGATCAAAATGCTAGTGGATGGCAGCGGTAACCTCACGATGACGAAAGATGGTTGCAGATTGCTGAAGGAGATGCAGATTCAGAATCCTACCGCTTCGATGATAGCCCGGACTGCAGTCGCTCAGGACGATCAGTGTGGAGACGGTACCACTAGCGTTGTGCTTCTGGTCGGTGAATTGCTCAAGCAAGCAGAACGATACATTCAGGAAGGCGTTCATCCCCGCGTCATCAGTGAAGGCTTCGAGGTCGCAAAGGCCAGCACGCTAAAGGTGAATGAGGTCGCGCAGGCCCCGCATACCTGGACAGTAGTTGATCAAGTCTTTCATTTCGATCACAGTTTCTAGAGGAGTTCAAGCAAACACCCACAATCGATCGCGCAGCTCTCGTGGCAGTAGCGCGCACTTCCCTTTCCACCAAATTGCACGCAAAGCTGGCAACACAGCTTGCCGGAGATGTCGTCGATGCTGTGCTGGCCATCAAGCCCTCCAAGAGCAGCTCTGTCTCTGCTCCAGCGCCCAAGGCTGGCGACAACACGACCGAGAATCCTGGCGAGTGGACAGTCACAGATCCTATCGATCTCCACATGGTCGAAATCATGAAGATGCAGCACAGACACGAGACGGATACCCAACTCGTCAAAGGTCTCGTGATGGACCACGGGGCACGACACGCAGACATGCCTCGCAGAGTCGAGAATGCTTACGTGCTTACTCTGAACGTTAGCTTGGAGTATGAGAAGACGGAGGTGAACTCTAGCTTCTTCTACTCCTCTGCAGAGCAAAGAGAGAAGCTGGTGGAGTCAGAAAGGAGGCACGTCGACGCCAAACTCAAGAAGATTGTTGAGCTCAAAAAGGCAGTGTGCGATCAAGCTGTAGAAGGATCCAGCGAAAAGCCAAAGAAATTTGTGATTTTCAACCAAAAGGGCATCGACCCGCTTTCGCTAGACATCTTGGCCAAGAACGACATCCTCGCCCTGCGCCGCGCCAAGAGAAGGAACATGGAGCGATTGCAATTGTGCTGTGGAGGCGTCGCACAGAACTCGGTGGATGACTTGTCACCGGACGTGCTTGGCTATGCTGGTCTTGTATACGAGCACACTTTGGGCGAGGAAAAGTACACATTTGTGGAGGAGTGCAAGGAGCCGCAAAGTGTCACTTTGCTCATCAAGGGTGAGTCTTGTCGCCATTGACACAGCACAATCACTGGCCATGGCTGACGAATACGTGAACTTGGATCTCCCCTTGCAGGCCCGAATGCGCACACAATGTCACAAATCCAAGATGCCATCCGAGACGGGTTGCGCTCTGTCAAGAATGCTATCGAGGACGCTGCACTGGTTCCAGGCGGCGGTGCCTTCCAGATCGCGGCGGCCGCGCACTTGGTGGACAATGTTGGCAAGAGCACAAAGGGACGTGCAAAATTGGGTGTGCAGGCATTTGCGGACGCACTTCTCGTCATTCCCAAGACTTTGGCTGCCAATGGCGGGTTCGATGTGCAGGACGCCATCGTCGCGCTGCAAGATGAGCACTCTGCCTCTCCCGGAAGTGTCGTTGGCTTGGACCTTACGACTGGCGAGCCCACGGATGTTGTCACGCAGGGCATCTGGGACAATTACAGAGTGATCAGGCACATGCTTCACAGCGCGTAAGTGTCGTCCTCTGCTATGGCGCGAGGCCTGTCACTGACTCGACAGACTGTTTTTCGTCCACTTCACACAGCTCCGTCATCGCGACCAACATCTTATCGGTGGACGAGCTTTTGCGTGCGGGACGAAGCACTCTGAAGAACGAGCCACCTCCAGGACAGTAGACAGCAGAAGGGTAATCACTTTAGCCAAGGATCTTTCGCGCGTGGCTTGAGCCCTCGACGGAGGCCATGTAATGCTGCCATTGGCCTCTGCTCACAATGATGATCACGTTACTGTGACAGTTGTGCTGGGATCGTCGTTAAAAAGCGTACCGATGTGACATTATCGCTGTGCGTTGAGCTGCCGCTACAATGCGAATTATTAGGAGCAGTATTAGCATTCGCCCAGTGACGGATCATTTTGCGTTGCTTGCTTGCAGACAAACGCATACCGAAGGCATTGCAAATCGTGGACAGCTCCCATGTATCTTGCAGAGATTTTCACCCCCCCCGGCCAAGGTGATGTTCGCGCTATCCCGCGGCGTGCTGGCGACGCGTGCGTGCACGGACGCGTTCTTTGGCTTGCCTGATCGCGAACGCGTCAATTTACGATGAGACCGGAGACTCGCGTCTTTCTAGAAAAGGAAGACGCGCTGGGGGACCGCGGAGGGGCTGAAATC